GCGGAGTATCTGGGGAGCTGGAAGATGAGAACTGGCGACTTTGTAGTACAACGGAGTATCTGGGGAGCTGGAAGATGAGAACTGGCGACTTTGTAGTACAACTTTAGTACGCGGAGCAATCTGTGGAGCTGGAAGCTGAGAAGTGGCGACTTTGCAGTACAACTTTAGTACGCGGATGAGTCATCTCTCGCGGCTGAGTCATCTCTCGCAGCTGCTCTGGCGCCCCTGCAGCTGAGTCATGTCTCCCAACCACCCGGCTCTCTTGAGAGGTTGACACACACAAACAGAGACCCACGCACTGCCTCAACTTACTCGGAGACACACACAGACAGAGACTCATACACACACAGACATAGATACGCACACACAGAGACCCACACACTGCCTCAACTCACTCGACTTAACACTTCACACTGAACACTTACCAGATAACTCACACTCTGACTTCCTACGTGATGAAAAATGCTTTCGGGCCACTCGTCGTCTAGTTTTGATGATGTGCAGTTTTTTTTCTGTCACTTTTTTTTGCTACGACGGAGGGTTCAGGTATACATTGACCCCCTATATATACATATGTCATATTTGCCTACGTTGACAATAAACAAAAGGGACGGACACACATCCTACAATCCGGACCCCCACAGAGGTGCAGGGTTTTGAGTTTTGAGGGTTCAACATCCGAAGATTGGAGGAGAGGGTCCAACTTTGGAGTGCCAAACGATTCCTAGGACCCTCCTATGGAGGGTTTTGACCCTGCATAACAGGGGTTTGGACCCGAACCAAACCTTCACCTTTGAGGGTCCTTGATTCTTCGGGTAAGAAACAACAATTAAATCAAACAATGTCATGAAAGATTCCAGTTTGGGTGCATGATGGTGCATGCCAAATACACTGACACCCAGCAAGCAAAAGACTTGATGAAAGGCCCATAGCATCATAGATTGTGTGTGTGTCTGTGGCTCGTGTTTGAGATACACTCCCGAAAACTAACATGAACCCGGGTCAAATGGCACCCCGAAAGACTGTTTTCCTCTACAAACCAGTGGTTTTCAGGGGTTTTGGGCTAGTTTTCAGTGGAGTGTAGGCTCCCGTTGAAGGAAAAAGCCTCAATCTGCATGGGGAACGTTGCCCAACAAATCTCCCTCAAATCCTTCCCATTTAAGGGTCTGGATTCTTAGGTTTAGAACCTATGTCTGAGTCTAAGCCTTCAGCCTTTGGATCCTTAGGATAGTACCTATCCCAAACCAACCATGGGACTGGAATATCATCGATTTTAGACGTACCGTACCTACGTTGACCCTTATCTTAAAACACTCCAATGTAGGCAAATATGCCAGTCCCCATGGATTCTGCAGGTCTCATCATCGTGATCGAGACGCGCTGTCCCGACAGGACAGGCATCTCACCCCAGGCATCCAAGAATCCAAGAGCCCAGGAAAAAAAAAAAAAAAACATCAAATGATAGTATTATCATGTATCAATCCGAACAAAAGAACATGTTGAGCCATGTCATGATATGTTGAACCTCAGTTTGTAGCATGCCCTGTCCGAGTCTGCCTATATTCCTGCAAAGAAGTGCTGAATCTTCAAATGCGGAATCATCATTATACCTTCAAACGAGATCGAACGAGTCTGGTTACCTTTTGTCATGGCCCAACAAAAGCTCTATACCTAAAACTTCCGCGGTCTGCTTTCGCCCCGTGCGCCGTGCGCCCTGGCCTTCTGATACGTTTCTTCACCCGTCGCCCGTCGTATAGCGACTTCGCCCGTCCTAAACAACGGAGAGGTCGTCGAACGCTACGTGTTCTCGGCTCCTCTGGGCGATAGAAGTCCTGCTCCAAGGCCTTGGCCTCGTCGCGCACGGCCAACAGCACCGCCTGCAAGGACGAAGAGACGACCAGCTCCGAAAGCACGATACCCAAAGACCTTACGACAAGGTACGACTGGTAGGAGCCGGAATTGGGCCGGCATGTTCCTTTTTTTGGGGTGGGGTTTTGGGAGAAGCGGCGCAGATGGATGTTTGGAGGTTCTTCCATCCGAAAGTCGATCGGTCCGCAGAAAGTAGATCGAGTTCTGAGTTACTGTGCATCACAAGAATTTAATATATGGCTTAGCCTTCAAGGAATTCACGAAGACTCCTAGAACCTCTAGGTGAACCTCTGCAGTTTGAATGGTTCTTGGATCCTTCGGTGGTTCTGGACCCGCCGAAACAAGTCTCTGGTTCCACCCACTGAACTCCCTGGCACCTGCTTCTCCTTCTGCTTGAAGCCGGCATCAATCAGGCAGAAACCTGCCATCGATGGGAGGAGTGCAAGGAGTGCAAGGCAGCGAGAGGCCAAAATCGTTGGGACCAGTTCTACGATCACTAACATTCTAGTTCTAGGATCCAGTAAAAACAATTGCCACAAACACTATGGGTCAGCAATCATCATATCATGTGCGTTCATTGTTTCCTCACTACCCGGTGAACAGAAACCGTTGAAAGAGTGGCACCGCAAGCTACCGGGTATCCCACTCCGAAGGGGCGACCAGTATTCCACTCATATAGAAATTTGCACCAAGTGGATGAATGACAACGTTACTTGCTAAGTACACCTACACCCATCTACATGTTCCCAACACATCTTCTTCACTCATCCACTCCTGCTCCAGCACCAGCAAAACTATGTTTTTGAATCTGAATGCATTTGATACTTTGTTTTAATAATCTCTTTTGACCCATCCCCATCCTGTCTTTTTCTTCATCCACAACCCGGCACAGCCTGTCCGCCAAAGCCCGTCCGAGGCCACTGTTTCCAACGTACCAGTCGATCCTCCCTGGCAGCCTAGAGAATGATTTGGATGACCAGTCACGACCAGTCGGCCCTCTGGTGCCTCTTTAGCCTATGAATCGCCGTAGTCACCGCCGCAGGACCCGGTTCGACCCACCCAGGAGTCCACCCCCCCAAACCCCACCCGGGACACGCTCCACCCGCTCCAGACCGACGGACCGACACGGTTCGGGCTTAGCTTCGGAGCTTCGGAGCTTGGCGGACTTGGGCATGGAGAAAGGACCCAACACGGTCCTCATGTGGTTGTGCATCAAAAGCTGAAGTCTTGGTAGACGCGACATGGCTGTTATGTTTCTCCGATCCAACTGCCATGTTTTGTATTTCCGTCCTGCCTTCCCTCGACCATCAAAAACAATTCCGTTGACCTAGTTTTGCAGTCTAAAATCCTTAGGAAAGCAGTGGTTATGTAGTAAAAAAATGCATAAAAACAGTGGTGAGTGGAATGAGAGGGTGTCTTGTCTTTCAGCTTTCCCCCTGCACAGCGCGGGCACCGGTCCCGCCGTTTCAAGCTCGCCTTGCACCGTCAAGCTCGCCGCCACCTCTTCTGCCGAAGCGTCTCGCTCCTGAGCACAAAAACCCGGCATTCTGGTCCCCAAAAAGTATTCGTGGCACGTTTTCTCCAATGGCATCTTTTGGTGGGAGATCTATTTTTTTCTAGCCATTTGGGGGTCTATATCGTCTCTAAGAGGCACCTCGAACGGAAGGTGGTAGTCCTGGTACAGGTTGGGTCTAATCCCATTCCGTGGGCCTTGTGAGTGACGATGGGGCCTGGTTGCAGGGATATCAAAAAGAGCGATGTTCGTTTTTTCGACTGTTACTGCTTGACTGGGTCACCCAACATATAGGTCTAGTCTGACGCAGGTCCAGTCTCCTAGTCCTGAAGATCTCATTGACCAACTCCGGTAAAATAAGATTGAAGTGACCTGCAGGGAAAATATACCAGGACTCCTAGAATCCTAAAAGTTTTTGAAGTGAGAGCATTGCCGTAAAAGCCATAGGCTTGCCAGCGTTGGCCATGAGGAAGTCCCTGTCGGGTTGCTCATTTTTTGTTGCAATCAGCCGCTTCCCAAATGTCACACCCCAGTCAGTGCCCGTCAACCCAGATACTAAGACACCAAAGCACATCCCCCTGGGCGAAGCTTTCGTCCGCCAGCAATGGCCGCGCAAGAACTCCTTGTCCAGAAGGAGGGTAGAAAATGGTAGACGTTGCACGTCGTTCCATCTCAATCCCCCCCAAATCATCAAGAGTACGCACCCAATTACCCATTGATCATCCAGATCACGGCTTGCGATCGCATGCTCAAGTTTGGCAACCACAAATAGGGGAAGAGGGACTGCTTCCTTCACCGGCGCACATTTCCACTCGTCCTGTGCTAGCCATGCCTCTACTGCTGGGCTGCACACTCCTTCCAATAATGGTCCCAGGCCCAACTTATGGCCCACAAATTTCAAGGACTTCACACTCTCTTTCGCTCTGCACACTCGCTTGGTTCCCCTATCCAGGGCGGCCCCGCTTGCCAATGCATCACAGAAATTCAGGCTCGAAGCCACTGAAGGGTGCCCAGGGAAAACAAGTGCACCGCGACAAAAGTCAAGCCATTTCTGCCAGCCACGCAGGTATTTTGCAAGTGTCGCTGAGGACCGATCTTCAAAGATAAACGCCAACTGATCTCCATACTTGTCAGGAATAGACAGCAGCACATCACTGTCCCCCCGCAAATCTTCGGCCAGCCCAGACCATGCAAGAGCCAATTTCCTTCGCTTTTTGCCATCCTCACCTCTGGAAGAAGTTGCTGCTGCAAGGGAGACTCCTTGCGCACGCTGTGGCAGCTTTGCATGCGAGCCAGTCTCTGTTTGGAGAGGAGAATTAATGCTCACGCCACGAGATAACTCAACAGGACGCACGTGTTTTCGTCTCCAATCTGGAAACGGCAGGGGGCTTGCTCCCCTTTTCATAGGCGCTGGCGGGGGCGCTCTAGGCAGTGGCCAGGGAGTATCCCTTTCCAAATCAGCCAAGCGCTTCCACCCCATCCAAAAGAAGAAGGAGAACCAAACAAATCAAGATAGTTTTCAATTTGCAGCTGCACCCAGCACCGCACTTTAACCAAGCAGCTGCACTGTACTGTAGGATGCACATGCAAGCATCATTCCAGATCCACAAATGCATCCACTACTGCAGCCGCACAACTGGCAAATGTACCAGCACTCATGAGGGTTTGATGTGTTTGCCAGGTCAACACAGGCTCGATCCACAAATGCATCCACTACTGCAGCCGCACAACTGGCAAATGTGCCAGCACTCATGAGGGTTTGATGTGTTTGCCCGGTCAACACAGGCTCGTTGTTTCTTCACTGGACCCGTGGTCCATGCCAAGGGGAGGCGGTCGAAAGCTAGCGGAAGCACACTGGCGGTTTCTCTACCGCGCTGCGGTCGCTGAGGCTCAATCTTTGCGTCCACTTATCATCGATGTGGGATCAAGTGGGTGTACACATATATATATATATTTGTGATGGAACATCCACTTTACATGAGGCGAAGCAGGTGGACGAACGGTATAGAGCTTAGCTTAGCAGCAGCCCAGCAGCAGCAGCAGCACCAAGCAGCAGCAAAGCAACAGCAAGCAGCCGCAGCAACCAGCCGCAGCAGCAGCAGAAAGCGGCAGCAGCAACCAGCCGCCGCCGCCGCAGCAGCAGCAGCAGCAACCAGCCGTACCAGCAGCAGTAGGCAACAGCAGCAGCAGCAGCAAAGCAGCACCACCAGCGTGTTTGAGGGTCCGGATTCTTAGGGAACATACATGCTTTACCTATTTTTACCCACGCATTTCTGAAAACATATTTCTCACTGTCCCTAGCGACAATAACATCTTATTGAACAAATTTAAAGAACAGGCTCCGAAAGGACACAGCGGCGAAAGGGTCGCCGAGTCGCCAACCAAGTATAGTTATAATAAGATTGGTAAGCAAATGTAAGCAGTTAAAGGTAATTCTTTGGGAGTAGCCCTGCCTCTGGTGGTAGCCCCGTCGCACTCCTCCCAACTTCGTCCAAGCCGCCGCGTCGGGCGAGTCCGCCACCAGTCGCACCGCCGAAAAACGTGCATCGCGCATGGCGCGGCACGAGCAAACCGACCGTGGTATATCCCATGAACAGCGGATAATCATGGTTAGGTTGCAGGCCTACTGCTGCACAGGAGCGATGTTCTCTTGGAAACCTACTGCTGTACTGGTTTGCTGGGACCATCGGGGACCTAAATCCCAGACTTTGGACCGAGCGATGGAAGACCTCCCTTTGGAAGAGATCATAGACCAACCTACCCTCATTGGGCCTACTCAGCAGGGCCAGGGGCTCCTCCTATACACACCCCAATGGGTCCGTAACGGGATGTACTTGTCTCCAGGAAACTCTTGGAAGGTACCGATCGTTCTTTGAAGAAACCACATCTTCAACTAATCCGCTTAACGGTCAATCTCAACAGAGCCCCTGAGTTCATCCCTCAAAAGCGACCCAAAAACGACCCGTTTCAGCCTTCCGCTTCAGCATCCAAACGATGCTTGACCTAGTTTTGTTGTCTCACTTTCTAAAAACACTCCTAGACACATCCAAACGCTCCATGTGAGTTTTCTTTGGGCCTACATGAACACCACCCACCACCAGCCATGTGGGCCATATTGTCCGATGGAGCCATTGGGAATGGTATACAATATTTCCAGGGGCCCCACATGGCCCATCCAAAAACCTAGTCTTCCCTATAGCAGAAAAAACTGGTTTTTCTACGTGAACACCTTTGTTTTCTTCATGGGAAAACTGGTTGACCGGGCCCCTGGCTTCGTATCTGCTCGTCGGATCGACGCGGCGCCATTCCTCGGTTCTTCCCGTTTCGCCCCCAACGGTCGACGCGTGGTCGGCTGAGCTTAGCTTTGCCACATGGAACGTTTTCGTCCGAATCCCTGCGATCATTTCGGAAAGAATCTGGACATATCTGGACGCTGTGTCTATCCCGGATAGGTTTTTGGTGCAGAGAGGCATCAGTAGATGGCACACCTGATCCACATGAAAAGCACCTTCATCGAGTCCTCTAGCGAAACAGCTCAAATTCCATCCAAAGATCTGCAATTCCAGTAAAACCCCTTGACTAAACCAAGCAAAACCTTCCGGCGCCGGTCTGCGGAATGGGTTGCAACGAAGATCAGCAAGTGCACCCAAAAAACTGGTCAGCAAACATTGGGGCCCTGCAAACAGTGTCCAAATCGCTCCATGTATGGCATAATTACATATACATATACATAAGCGGTAGTTTAGGGATTTCACTGGAGGTACACATTCCATACCAGCACACGGTGCATCCCGTTGCCTTCTCACCTGGATTCTTCTCTCAGTTCTCACCCCCCAAATCCCACCTGTCGCCCCCAAATCCTGCCCCTACCTCTTCAATGATCTCAGGGACTGGAATGTCAACCATGAGTTCGACCTCACTTCGAACGTGCGAACAAGCAAGGTCAAAGCGATACTGTAGAATGTGTGTAAAAACTTGTTGGTGTAGTGAAAACAACGCCTGAGCGTTGTAGATGCTTATAGCACCCGTGTGCTGGATTTTGCACACTTTTAGCAAACCTGTGAGGAAGATGTTTACGCGACTTGTTTTGTACAACAATGGAGCTTTAAGAGTTGCTACTTGCAAAAGCAAACGACGAACTGGTAGAAAAGGGACGACATTGACACAGCATCCACACAAGAGATTGCATATAGGTGTTGCAAAGCTCATCTACATCAGCAAGGGAAGGACAGTAAGCTTTGAAGGATGTTTCGCACCTGGTCCGCGAAGCGTTGCGGCGCCACTGCAGTTGGCAAAAGGCTTTGGGTTTGGGAACCATAGGGGCTACTACGCACGGATGGACATGATACTTACGCGCCTCCGCGGAACTTAAACGCGCCTTGCCCGCAAAAATGTAATGATTCTCCTCGGCTTTTGTGAGGTCCCTGTGGCCTATGGGAATTATACAGGAACTTGCTGTAGGTTTGATGATGTTTGATGGCTGCCACACTCATCCAAGTTATGTACAGATCCTCTCAAAAGAACAAGTCAACATCGAAAATCAGCCCCAATAGCACCCTATAGTGGAGCGTTCTCTATGGAGCGAGACCTCTCAGCAGGCACACCAAGCACCTGCTAAGGCTGAACATTTTTTCAGCTCTAGCTGCTCCATGGAGTGCTCACAGCAAATGTGAATTGCAAAACCATGGAAGTCCAAAACCATGTTGAAATTGTTGATCTGGTGTTAAAGTGTTAAAATCTAGATAAATAACAGTTCGGTAAAGGGTAAAGGCTATTAAAATCTATTAAACAGTTTGGTGGTTCGACTTCTAGGGGTTTGATCAAGTCAGAACTCGACCGCAGCATGTGGCTTATCAGGCTTACGCCTTCTTCAGTCTGCACGCTGGAGAGGGTCTTCCGCACCCAGCTTTTTATGACAAGATCCACACCGAACACCAAACCAGGAGGGCGGCATGGCATGGCTCAACTGAAAACCTGGCTGGGGGACCTTGCTAGTCAAAGCCTGTCATCTTGGAATTGCGAAGCTGGAAGCTGGTTGGAAGTGGATAACATGATTTACCCATAGGGAGAACAACAGATCACCTATGACCCAAAGATCATGCAGTTATGCCATAGCGGTTGGAAGTGGTCAAGAATTGTTCTTTCGGACAACAACACCATGTCAACATGGGAGGTGTCATTCAAGAACCTGGTAAATGATTGCATGCAGGAAATTGCAGGAATAATACAGAGATAATTACAATTCTGAGGGAATAAAACACCAGCGTCAAGGTGAGAAACAGTGAAAGGCCAACCTCAAGATCACCATCGTTCATTCATAGAAAGACGGCCACCAGAGTGAAAACCAGGTGCTCCAAAACAGGAGCACCAAGCTTCGCGTGCTTCGCGTCGCACCAGTGGGTGATCCTGTCAACACAATGACCCTACACCTCCAACTACCTCCCTTTCGAAGGTGGTTGAGGGGGTCTGTCCCTACCTTCGGAGGTGGGTTGGAGCCCGGGAGCGATTTCTGGCAAACCTTCCTGGCAAACCTTCCTAGCCACGATCGTCCGATAGCCACTCCCTTCTCCCAAATCCGTATACCCAAACCATCCATGTACAGCCTTCCAAGTTCGGTTGGCTTTTGGACATCCCGTGCCTCACCTGACATAAACACCCCTGAACAGAGGATCCTATATGGACCCCTGAAGCCACAGCATTCAATGTATTTCAATGTACATTTCGGAAGGGTCGAACCCTCTATAACAGGGGGTTGTACCCTCAGAACATCTCAGAAGCCAGTTTTTGAGGCTCCGAACCGGATGGGATGCCAATCCCACGGATGGGAGATGTATACATGATCCATCATGATCCCCCCCGAAATCACAAGAAAGAAACCACTTACGTCACCTCGACACCCGCCATGTACCCAACAAATTCAGACCCGAAGGCATTCCTAACACATCGTTTGGACGCCGGATTCGCTGCCTGGAACCCCAGTCCCAACCAGAAAGAGTTCTGGATGCTTTCCTTAGTCCCAGCCATATCCTATATGTAAAGGATTTCAATTGCTATGTTGAAACAACCAGAGCTGTTTCTGGGTGCTTTGGGGTTCCAGGCGACCACCGGTTCCTCCACCGGTCAATGCGCCGGTTCGCGGTGCAAGCGAAGCGGCGAAGCGAAGCAACCCTTCCTCACTGCTCGAAGACTCCGAACCCAGCGGTTCCCAGGCAGCGGAAAGGAGATGCCATGAGTAGCGGATCCCAGGGCAGAGTAGTCGGTTTGAGTCGAGGGGAACCACTGGTTATACCAGCGACATCGTATCTACTAGCTCTAGTATCGGTTTGCCTGGATGCCCTGAAAAAGTGTTGCTTCGGGCCCGGAGTCTGAAGGCGTTTGGAGCTCTGCGGATCGAAGGGCGGGACGTTGCACCAGGCGCTCCTCTTTGGTCACCCTCGGCCGGAAGCTGCAGCGACCAGAATTCCGCAGAGGGGGGGGGGCTGGTACCTGCCATCTGAAGACCCACCCCAAATCTAAGAACCGTACAGCTCAAGGATGTCATTTCCGCTTCAACCACATCCTCAAGAGGTAGTTAGACACCAAGCAGGTAGTTCTAGGCCCAAGGGGTGCGTATTCTAACCCGATCTATCGTGCCTTCTATCTGTCGTGCGGGCTTAGACTATATATAATAATAGCAACTTCATGAGTTTGAGCCATCCAACATGAGCTGCACACTGACCTTCAGGCCCCCCTGGCCCCTGGGGATCCTGATCACACGCTGAGCATGTGATTCACAACGTGGTCATTCACTCCTGGGACCAAAACATAGGGACTGCCCAGATCCCATGCTCACGGGAAGTTGAAATTTTAACGCTCCTCACCCTTCCGCACAGCTTAGATTTCTGACCCTTTGGGTTCTGATTTTAGGTTCATGTGTTACTCCAAGGTCCTGTTGTTGAGCTCTCTTTTCCGTTTTCGGACTCTGCACGATGCGAAAGTATGCTAATCCCACCACTCCTCAGCATTTCACAGGGGTCTTTAGTCATGACTTTGGTAATCATCAAAGCTTTGATGGGATAGCATGCAAATTCCTAATTGCCTAGCCCATAGCCCATCCATTGAGCAAGCTCAGCCGGTAGCGAACACAGCGGCCTGGTGATGGCTCTTTTGCCTCATGTAGTCCAAAGGTTGCCAAAGACAAACTCTATGATTTGGACATAAAACAAACAACACACAAACCAAGTTAACATAGACCTAAAATTGTTTTAAACCAATTCATGAGACCCCATGTAGAATCGCTTCAAGGCAATGTACTCTACATTGGTGTTGTTGGCAGCTTGACAAAGGCTTGCAATCTTCCCTATGAAGTCTTCTGGTTTGTAGCCGGCATAGAATCGACTGTTGATTCCTGATCAGTGGTGTAACACCACACTAGATATCTATATCATTTCATCTCACAAACTGAGCCCTTCTATTTGATGGGTGACCAAAACATGCCATATATATAGGAAAGGCTCGGTCTCTGGTTTGGCTGAAGGCAATCTCCTGAAATGCCTCACAGATACAACTGTGAGCCACTATCCTCATGACAGATCTTTAAGTATCCAAGCTTAAGAGGGAACTAAACTAACTCCATTTGAGTTGCATGAAGCTTTGGTCGGCAAGGGAAAAAAAGCTCGCCCATATCGACCGCCTTCTTTGCCAAGGTCAGATAGAAACTCAAACATCCATCACAATGCCTTTGAAGCATTGCAGCCTGATCATCTGTCAAATATCTTGGCATCAGCTCGCAGTTGCGGTGCCACTCAGCCATGTGCCACCTAGGGTAAGCATCAACCACACACTTTGTTATTCTATCAGTACCCAGACCGATATAGCACTATCAAAACCAGTCTGTGGAGGGAACACTGTCAGAGTTCCTTCCATACCTTGCATATAATATCGGCTATTGGCTTTGGCACTACAATCCATATATCTATTTTGAATAATTTATATTGTCAATCTGGTTGCTGACATGTAGATTACATTCCTCCCATGAATTTGGGAACTCCGATGACTTCTAGACTATAGGACAAGTCACGTGCAAGAAACCATAAGGGGCAACCAGCTGTCACCACTGTAAGCAGGATCGTTTGCGATCGACACCACCTCTTCACATAGCCATGCCAATACACACCTGGCCTCAGAGCTATGGTGGACGAAGAGGCCAGAAACAGGGATGGATGTGCAATCTACATAAGCAACAAGACATGTAAATCACAACTGTTCTTTATTGATCTAGAAGTTGACACCCATTTTTTTGGTGCAGTCAAACCACATTCCATGCCTTACTTTGTAGTTCAGGCCATGGGTGCTGTTTGGATCTGAGACGCCATGGTTTGAATTTTGGCATTGAATGCCTTAGCTTTCCAGAAGTATAAGACTTCCATCAATCAATAAGGTTCAAATAAAAAACCTTTGTGAAAACAACGCAAAACACAATTATGCTAGTAGATACATCAAGCTACTCCACCTTGTTTCTTCTGCACCATGCCTTAAACACATCGTATGCTAGAAGTAAACGGTCAGCTTCGTCCATGTCTACGCCTCCCCAGACACGGTCATAAGCCAGGAGCTTCTTGATCACTGAGCCACATATCCAGAGATCTACTCCGAGATTCAGCGTGTGCATTGGGTCCCAACGAATCATCTCCACTTGGAAGTTAGGCAATCCAAGCAGTGGACCTCATAGCATATATATCGCGGTTGGATATATAAATTGAGTTTTGGTGGTGCATGTTTCTTTGTACACAACACCTTCTGGGCATGGGGTCCAGACATACCAAACAATATCTTTACAAAACACCTAAACACGTGTTCAAACAATGTAGAGGGACTGGTTTGATCTTTGCAGGCTTCAGCCATAAAAGTTTCATTACTATGGCGAAACTCACTGGCCAATGTCGATGGTGCTGTCACATAGTTTGGAACCCGAGCTCGGCAACAATGGCAAATTGATTTTGATAAATAGTAGTTTGCAAGATGTAGCCATTCCTGCACATGTTGGCCCCAAGTAGGCCATTGTGATGCATGCTTATTTTTTTGTTGGGGTGATCAAACATATTGTTCCAAATAACCATTAATCACCCACATCTCTAGCCAAAAGAACTCCATTACTTCTTTTAAAGAAAGTCCTGCTGCCATTTCCAATCACCGCGGATCTCGACGACAGCAAATCGCTTCCTCTCTCCACCAGGCATCAGGGCGCCTTCATTGTACAAGGTCTCCAACGACTCCACCACCTTGCGGACAGAAATTCGAGATTTATCGTGTTCTTGTTTTGAAGAGGAAAGGACAGGGGAGGTGGGCGGGCTACTGCATGTCTCATCATGGACCCATATTAGATACTCAACAACATACAAAGCTGTACGAAGCTCATGCAAGGTGCTGCTTGCAATATGGCACGAATGGTCGGGTATCCAGCTTTCAATTCCTTGTTGCATCACACCCCAAATCCAGCGGGGAATCACTTCAAGGAAAATTGTTACTCTAACTAGTTAAAATATAACTAAACCATAACATAAACACAAGTTAAACAGCAAATATGTTTTAATCTTGATCAAGCTTCTGAGCGACAAATGCTTATGGGGAAACACGATTCTATGCTGTGGGACCTTTTGTCAAGGACACCCCCCATAGATATCAGCATTACTTCATCTCCATTTTCTCGATACTGTGCTTCATCGCCCCAAATCCAAAGTGGATAGTGATCCTTCTCTGGGCTGATCCTGGCTAAAGGGCTATTGCAGTCGCAAAGATGCTGCCAAAAACCTGCGAGGTCATACCGAGCAATGGCGGGCAACAACATGACCAAAGTGTGCGGCATGACAATGGGAAGTCTCCTGCATCGAACCCATCAACAGTTTGTACAAGCCTTGGAAAGTACCTTTCACATGTTGAACTGTTAAATATACATGATATATGTGGTCCAAGCACCACTGAGAGTTCCACTGTGGAACAGGCTTCAGACCCCTTAACTATTCCCTGGCCCTTTTCACTTCAGTCCTGTGTTCCACACCATTTACACCACGTTGCTTTTGCACAGGAGCATCTATCCAATCGACAGGCACCTCCAGGACAGGGCCAGGTGAGCAGTGGCTGTGTTGCTGGCCGGAACCAAAGAGATCAGATATCCTCCATCCATAGCTTAAGAACCCATCAAACACAATATGTTCAAGCTGTTTGCTTGAAGCAATCATTTCCAACACGCCAAGCCTGTTCAGGATCATGTTTGTCAACCTTTCTCAAGATGTCTCTCTGAATGTTCGAGGTAAATTTCCCTTTGCACCCAGCCGATAACAAATCAGCACAAGGCCCCTGTAGTTCGATTCCATGGAGCTTGAACTCCTGCCAAACGGGTCGTACAGAAGCTGGAAGTTCGATCTTGGTTCCAGGTGGGAGGGTTCTTATTGATTGGATGCAATGCTTCACAGCTGGACATGATGACTCCAAATCTAGATCTACCACTCCTTGTCCACCACATCGATCAACCGCTGAGTCTTTGCAAAGGAGGTTTCCTCAGCCCATCTCCCGAACTGCACATCCCCCCCCAAAAAATACAAAATCAGATACACCTAATTTTAGCAATAACTTTTTGGATATCTATATAAATCTAAATACACATATATATATATATGATTTCCCAATACCCGCAGGATAGGCCAAGCTTCGCCCAAACCAGCCTCTTTGAGAAGGAAGGCATACAAAGGAGAGCTCTTTGCATTTCTTATCTCAGCACCTGCGCATGGGGACCGCCCTAATCCAAAGAACAAAAACTCCATACAGGGGCCCTCACCCATCAAAGCTCAGCATTTTTCTCGCAGGCATGTGTGATGCTGTAGTTTGTTTGGCGCATCATTGCATCCAAACTCAAAAGATCAGCAGTGTAGCCAAGCTTGAAGTACATGGGAAAACACAATATATATTATTATATGTTATTATAGTTTCACTTTGTGTGTTCATTTGGATGTTTAGTGCGAACCAGTCTTAACCGTTAGGTCGTGTTTGATGTCAAAATTGTTCGCCTGGCTGCACACTACGGTTGGCGGGCAGGCAGTGCTTCTGATATATAGGCAACATTAGTTTGAATTTCTTGGTAAGGAACACATGATGTTATCCAAACAGGTGGCAAAGAGACACCATGCCTTGCACCCATCCTACACAAGGGTATGTTAAGGCTCACCCTAGGCTACCCTGAATCCCCTCATTCACTCCCTTCACCCAGCTCACGCTTCAGGAGATACTTCATGAGCATGTGGTGGCGAAGGAACAGCTTTGGCTTTGCTCTTGGGCTTGTTCTTGGGCTTCGCAGGATCCTGAGTCAGAGTGTTTTTGGTACGCTGGTATTTTTCCTGCCCTCAAAGCTTTAACAGGGACCCTCAACAGGACTTGATGTAGATCATAGTACGATTGACAACTAAAATCGGAGGTTCCCTTTGTGGTCATGTGGAGTGCATCCTAGAACCTGCAGGACTATGAAGGAGTTTTGACATCGTTGGACAGTACATCTTGAGAAAAATAACAATCAGGAATCAACATCACACAATCCCAACACAAATTATTGAGTTTATGAAAGTGGCCACCACAGCTTTGATGGAACGTACACTTCCAGCATAGGAGGTAAAGGAAGCTTCACAATTCCGAATGGCAACCATACACTTCTCTTTGTGTTCACTGTGCTCAGGTTCATCAATCACAGCATCGTCAACACGCATGGCAAATAGTTTTTCAAGCTCACCCCGTGCATTCGTAATGCTGTGGACACGGCCTTGCAATTCAGTCTTGAATCCATCAAGAAGCTGTGGTGTCCTTGGTGTTTGCAGGTTGCACCATATGCTATGCAAAACATAAACATCCAACATACTGCTAATAGATAATATGTTTATGTTTGGTCCCATATATATATATACATATTGAAAGCAATACTCTAGTTCTACAGCTGGCTGAGTGTCAACCCATTCTTGTTCTCATCAAGCTTGGACTGCCATGCAAGAATCTCGGTCAACTTGGCACTGCACTGGGAAATACAGCCTGTCATCTTCCTACTCATTGGTTTCACCTTGTCCTTTCTCTTCGGGTCCGGGATTTCCTCTTCCCCCTTCGATCCTGGTGCACCCGGTTCCTGGCTGGAGGAGTCCTGCGCCATGCCCAACTGGTGCATCTGTGGCTGCATCACAGATTTCCTGGACAGGTCATGGTCACTGGACTCAGTTCAAGGGGTGTAGAGGTCAGAGCGGGTTACATGTACATTGGGGAAAACGGTTCAACCATACAAAATTAAACTAATATATATATATATATGTTATATTAATGATTTCTTTGAGACTAGGCACAATATGCTTTTGGAGCCAGCTTCATCGAAGTCTCCGGAGGCACTTAGGTTGTGATTCAATGCTGTTTCATCCTCGTCCTCATACTCCATAGCATCCCAAACACGTAGCAAGCACCAGTCCTAGGGGTAAAGTACTTAAGGACCTGGCCTTCAACATGAGGATTTCTCAATTCAGTAATAGTTAAACAATATATGCAAGCTAAAATTTGAAAAATATAACAATGCATATAAGAATCTTCCACACCTTTGATGTCAGGATGTTCCATAAAGTAAGTTGTTGTGTCCGTTTTGGACCTGTTCTTTTGCATTTGCTTTTTATCGGCCAACATTTGGGCTGCTATTGCATGGCCGAACTTGTCTTTCACATTCTTGTATGGCATCATAACATGGCGCCCCTTGCGCCGTTGGCTAGACTTCTGGGTCAAGGATGTGTAGAGGCTGGACTGCATCCAGTTCTCACCTGACTGCACAAAGTCCTCGAAGAGTGTAGAAAGGATCTTGTCACGGCCTCAGGGCCCCAGGTTGTCACATATCCCACAATGGGAGTATGCGTGCTCACTCTGAGGCGACCATGCATATTGGATGCAATATCAAAGCAAACCCTGGAAGCAATATGGGGGATCCTGGACCTGGTGAGGGGCACATGGTACTTGGCCCATCCATCAGCCAACTTCGACCCTTGTGGCAAACACGGTTCAAGAAACTGATGGGCAAACATTGTCGACAGTCAGGGACATGACAATCAGAGCGAGAATGTCGTCCACCTACCGCACCTATACATCAGGATTCGTACCAGGAGCCCCAGGCAACTTCAGGCTGACTCTCAAGAGTGCTGACAAAGCCTTGACTCAGGAAGTTGGCATTTTGATTCACTCTGAAGCAGAGCTATTTCTATGCAACCCCCCCTGCACTCCAGGTGGTTGTCTCCGAACCCATTCCCGCTTGCTGCATATGATTGCAGCTTTGGACTTGGTGCATGTGTGGCCTTCAAGGTATTGGAGAATCACTTAAGGTCAACAAGGTAGAGGTATTGGAGACCAGATCCCACTATGAAATGACCTGATGATGCATGGATGGTGGTTGGGATTCTGCATGAACCATGAGAGTTTGAACCATGAGAACCATGAGATTGGCATATAGTGGCACAAACTTGATGAGAGATCAGTGCCATGCAAGTTTAAGATATGTTTGGCGGTATAGGCTTGAAATTGCTTTATGTTCGTGAGCTGGGCTTGGTTGAATATAGAGAGGCTGATTAATCTACAAAGAACACAGTGACCACGCCAAGGATCTGCCCTTCCTGTTGTTGAAGAGTTCCAGGATGGCTGGAGGACAAGTCGGGCCTCAACTCAGCACTTCAAGTGCCATGTCAAGCTTAAGGGTTGGGCTCGTCTGCTGAAAACTGTTTTGATGCGAGTAGACTTAGCAGGAAGATAAATCAATCAATGTCAATCCTAGAACAATGGTTTTGAAGTAGATACTTGAGCCATGTGCAGTAGAGCTTCCAAAGGATCGGTTGAAGCGCATCCTGGTATTATGTGCCAATCTGGCCAAATGAGTACTCTCATCTTCGATTTTTCCCTTTGGTCCAACGAAGTGCACACCTCCCTCCGTGAAAACAGCATCAGGGTCATCACGGTACTTCTGCTGCAACTCTCTTACGCGATCTGCCTTGCGCAGGGCATTTTTAAGGTTAGATCAACTAGAAAATATTATCTCCAAAAAATTCTAGCATGAACAGTTGTCAACAGATACTGCCAAATGAGTTTTTACTGCACTGTAGTCAGCACCCATACCCACTCCACCTCCAGCTGTGTGGTGTCCTTCCTGGCAAGTGCACCAGCTGCAACAGAAGGAAGTGTGGTAGCGGAGCCAGAACCAGGCTCAGTGGCACCATCAAAATTATGTTCCTGAAAATCAGGAATTCTAAGTCTGAAACATGAAACCACACATCAACACAAGGGGGACAACAGTTCCAATGACCTGGTCCTTCCAAAAATTAAAAAGGAAACTTGTATCCACACCCGCACGATGTTACACAGGTTTTCTTAGATTTCAATTTGTTGTTTGCCATTTGGGCCTTAGGTGATGGAGTAGTCGCAACAGCTTCAAGTGCAGCAAACAAAGAGGTCTTCGCAGACCCATCTTGTAAAGCCTGGATGTTCTCAATGGCTGCTGTGGCCGCATTCATCTCTTTGGTTGGGTGCTTGATGAACATGTGCTCAAAAGTAGATTCAAGTTCCTTCATCAGCACATCGCACTCTGGATCCACTTCCTCCGGTTTAAGCACCTTCATCAAGTCTACACATGCTTCATTCACCTGTGTCTCCACATCAGAAAGTTTCTTTTCTGATTCCACAACAGGTTGCTTAGCACACGCTAGCTTCTCTGTTTCCCACTCATCCAGTTGCTGTACTGGGTCGGAAGAAACGCAGTCAACACCATCCTTGGTTGACATGCTCTTCCATTTCACCAACATGGTCTGCTTGGCCTTGTGAATTTTGGCTGCTTGCTCCGTGTAGGCAGCTTTTGCCTTTGCTAGGCCAAACTCGGCATCTGCCTTCAAAGAAACAAGAGACGCTATTTTCTCAATCTCGTTGGTAAACCCTGCAGCTTGCTCAGGCCCCAACACCCCTCCCCTGTTCTTCACCCATTCAACAATCTTGGGCTTAAATTGGAGCACACTGTCCACTGTGACCTCATGGGGCACATTCTCTTGGGAGCCAAAGACGAACTCTACAAGGCCATGGTCGGCAGGCACCTGGTCTGGTGACAAGCTCAAGTCCTGCTCTCCAGCATCAAACGGCCATGGAGAGCCATCGTCAGCCCCATACACAAGGGTAGAGGCCGTCAACGATGAACGCAATACTGGAGCAGAACCTTGGTATTGGTTTCATCCAGTCGAGTTGTTGCACTACCAGCAGGCAGTGGCAACACTGGAAGAGTTGGCTCACCGGAAACCAGCTTGCTGTGGGATCACAACACAGGTATTGGCAACATTCTCTGCATGGTGCCTATCGTGGACAACTACATGTTGACAGCTGGCCAGCTGGTCCTTGTTGCTGATGATGGACAAATGTGAACAACAAGAGCTTCGAGTTACAGGCAGTCCAACCTTTCGTTGGAGCTGCATGATCTTGGCATGTCTCATGTGTCTACAGTAGCCACTAGATAATTCAATACAAGTTGCTCTCCAGACTCCCCACAGACCACACCGACATAGGTGAACGACTTGATGGAGCTCTGGATGGTCTTGGCCTGGATTCCTAGACAGGGAAGGAAGCTGAGGAAAACACAATGCAATATATGGTACCGGTAAGTACCTAGCACCTAGCAAGGTTGTCTCTCTGGTTGTATTTCGACAGTGCTTTTAGCTAAACATATTCGATGAACATTATATATCATATAACTTTTATGTTTCTCCATGAGCTCTGAATATATATAATACAATATATATTTATAGTAGACCCCAGCAGTGTCAACCCCTGACCTGAACTTCAACCTTTGTTTTCTTTGTCTCCGGACTTCGAATAGGGGTGAAGTTCAATGGGGCTTCACGTGGTCGCTCCATCTTCACAGTCCGCATAGGTGTAGCAACAGTGCTCCCTGGCCTCTCACGATCACCTTTGGTGGTTTCACGAAGAAACACTTGAGAAAAAAACACATATTTCTCAAGCAAGCTTAGTGGAGTGACACAATGACAGGTAAAGGCCCTGGGGTTAGAAAGCTTTTGTCCAATAAACAAATTTAATCCAGAAACCTTCAGCAACCTGCTCTGGATTGGGCACCACGGGCAGTCGGTCCCTTATCCTTTGCAGTTCCTCCTCAAAGCTGAACGACCCATTTGAGGCCACCTTGCAGCAAGGCCAAGGGGATTGGGTGGGATTCAGTGAGATGAAAGCCAAACCGTATCAGTACCACCTAAAACAATTTTTGCCAGTTGACCATTCCAAGGTGTTTGTTGTCTTTTTCAGGGAGGGCAGGGGGCAAGGAGAACGTTGTATGGGTGGGTCCACACTCATGAACCCAGCCTCATGAGGCACAGGCGATGGAGTCTTGGCCATGGATTTGGCAGCAGTAGGTCTCCCACTTGACATGCCTCCTAGCAGTGAGACAACTTTAAGCTTCAAACTAGTACTGAGTGTGATAGCCCTGTGACTAGATCAGCTGGAGAGAGACAGGTGCTGGTCTTATATGTTTCAGGATCTTTAATGGGTTGGAAATGATGTTTTCTGATGAAAATGTAACATTTTCAAAACGGAATGTGTTTTAACGCAATTTAACGCAATTTAACGCTCCAAATCCCCTGAGCACGCGATTTGAACGCAATTTAACGCTATTTTAACGCATGCGTTTTTTACCCAAATAATCCAAAAGTGACACAAATGTGACCAACAAAGACAAAAATGTGACAAATGTGACACAAATGTGACAACTGTGACACAACTGTGACCCAACTGTTGAATCAGACCTAAAATGTGACACAAATGTGACAACTGTGACCAACTTTATGAAAATCTAGGCCACATTTTTGTACACAAAATGTGACCCCATGTGGCCGTGATCCCACAAAATGTGACCTGCACAGGTCTGTCCTCCCTAGGGCCAAGCTACTAGCAGCGCGTGCCGTGCTCTTTGTTTCCAAAATGGCTGCGTTCATCCAACCAGGCCTACATATAGGCTTTGTTCCTTGACTGCAGTTTTGGATTGGGAAGGGGAAGAACTAGCTCTAGAGCTATGATCAAACATACAGTGGACAGTGGTGGCATCAAACCTCGGAGTGAATAGTCAGCTTTTCTCACTGCAGCTTCAAAGTTTGCCGGCGTCACAAATTAGTATATACAAACTGGTGGGCAAAAGCTCCATGGAGGTAGTGTGAGTATCCCAAACCCGTGGGCCATTAAGAGTTATCGGTGTGGTTTTGGTCATCCTCTTCAACATGCCTCAGACCCCCAGGTTTCATCAGGGAGCTCTCAAAGTAGACCCATGGAGCCCCACCATCATCTTTAATTTTGGGAAAGATGCACATCAACGCACTGGTCTAGTGACTTGGAGCTTTAAGCCAACACCGTATGAGTAACATCCACATG